TTCAAAAGCCTCTCTTAGCAACCAAAATTATCAGTATCTAAGGATCCACACGGATAAGCTGGAAAAACTCCAATAAGGAAATTGCATGCCAAACTTGAGAGTTAATTATTAACAAATTGATTCAAATGGGAAAAAAATGGTTTAGAGAATTAGGCTGAGAGTTCTTAGCCAAAAACTTCACTCACATTTTAAAAGATGTATTTTTTCTTTTCTTTATGTGCATAATATATTTTTAAATTATTTTTTAATTTTTTTAAAGAGAAAGACGAAAAGAGTGCAAGTCGGGGAGAGGGGCAGAGAGAAAGAGAGAATCCCAAGACCTTGAGATCACGACCTGAGCCAAAATCAAGAGTCAGACACTCAACCAACTAAGCTACCCCGGCACCCAATTTCCCATTATATGTGTAATATTATAAGACTTTTGGCAAATAAATAGAAGTTATATATACTCTCATAATAAGCTCATTTTGGTGCATTTTTATGGTCTTTTTCTCTTTTTTTGGCTTGGGAATAAGTTTTTAAAAATATATTTTAATTATCACAACCTATATCCATCATAAGTATTATCTGTTACAGTTGTGATTGTAATCATTTCAGGAATAAAGTTAATTTTTCATTGTAAAAGTAATAAGTTTTGTTTTTAGAAAAGTTGAACTATGATTAAAAAAATAGAAGAAGGAAACAAAATTGACTGTAGGCCCATTGTCTATAGATTAACACTGTTAAGTTATTATACGAAGTTATTACACGTATTGTAGTGTAATACGAAGTTATTACAACAGTATTGACTAATTCCTCATACTGTACATTATATCCCCATGACTTATTTTTTTTTTAACTGGAAGCTTCTACCTGTTAATCCCCTTCACCTATTTCTCCTGCCCCCAAACTCCTCCCCTCTCTGGTAACTGACATTTTATTTCCCGTATCTATTAGTCCTCTTCTGTTTTGATTTGTTTGTTTAGATTCCACATATAAGTGAAATTGTATGTTATTTCTCTTTCTCTGACTTATTTCACTTAGCATAATACTTTTCAGGTCCATCCATATTATTGCAAATGGCAAGATTTTTTTCTTTCCTTTTTACAGCTGAGTAACATTCCTATATATATTCCTCTACACACTCATATACATATATGCACACACCCCCTATCTTCTTTAGCCATTCACCCATTGATGGACACAGGCTGCTTGCCTGACTTGGCTGTTGTAAATAATACTACAATAAACACAAGTGTGCATATATCTTTTCAAATTGACAGGGTTTTTTTCCCACATAAATACTTAGAGGTAGAATTGCTAGACTGTATGGTAGTTCTATTTTAAAATTTTTGGAGAACCTCCATACTGTTTTCCATAGTGCTTGTACCAATTTTCACTCCCACCAATGCTATCCAACGGTCCTCTTTTCTCTACATCCTTGCCAACACTTATTTCTTATCTTTTTGATACTAGCCAATCTGACTGGGTGTGAGATGATACTTCGTGGTGGTTTTGATTTGCATTTCCTTGATGATTAATGATGTTCAGCATCTTTTCATGTGCTTGTCGTTTTCTTTGGAAACATGCCCTTTCAAGTCGTCTGCCCATTTTTTAATTGGGACGTTTGCTTTTTGATATTAACTCCTATTCAGTTGCCTTTTTGTTTGGTTTCCTTTGCTGTGCAAAAGCTTTGCAGTTTGATGTAGTCCCATTTGTTTCTTTTAGCTTTTATTGAACTGGCCTGAGGAGACTCGTCCAAAAAATGTCGCTAAGTCCAATGCCAAAGAGCTTACTGCCTATGTTTTCTTCTAGGAGATTTATGGTTTCAGATCTTATATTCAAGTCTTTAATCTATTTTGAATTTATTTTTGTGTATGGTATAAGTAGTGGTCCAGTTTCATTCTTTTGCTTTCCGCTGTCCAGTTTTCCCAGAACCATTGATGGAAGAGATTGTCCTTTCTCCCATTGTATATTCTTCTTTCATTGTCATAGATTAATTGACTCTATATGCATGGGTTTGTTTCTGGGCTCTCTGCTCTATTTCACTGATCTGTGTCTATTTTTGTATCAGTGCCATACTGTTTTGATTACTACAACTTTGTAGTGTAGTTTAAAATCAAGGAATTTATTTCCAGTTTTGTTCTTCTTTCTCAATTGATCTGGCTCTTAGCGTCTTTTGTGGTTCCATACAAATTTTAGGATTTGTTGTTCTAGTTCTGTGAAAAATGACACCGGTGTTTTGATGGGGATTTCATTGAATCTGTCGATTGCTTAGGGTGTGTGGACATTTTAACAATATTAACTCTTCCAATTCACGAACACAGTATACCTTTCCATTTTTCTGGGTGTCTTCTTCAATTTCTTTTATCAATGTCTTACAGTTTTCAGAGTACAGGTTTTTCACATCCTTGGTTAAATTTATTCCGAAGTATTTTATTCTGCTTGATGCAATTGTAAATGGGATGGTTTTCTTAATTTCTCTTCCTGATAGCTCATTATTAGTGTATGGAAACTCAACTGATTTCTGAATGTTAATTTTATGTCCCATAATTTTACTGAATTTATTTACTAGTTCCAGTTGTTTCTGGGTGGAATCTTTAGGGTTTTCTACCTGTTGCATCATGTCATCTGCAAACGGTGATAGTTTTACTTCCTCATATCCAAGTTAGATGCCTTTTCTTTATTTTTCTCGCCTAATTGCATGGCTAGGACTTCCATGTTTTGTTTTGTTTTTTTTTAATGTTTTATTTATTTCTAGGAGAGAGAGAGAGAGAGAGAGAGAGACAGCATGAGCAGGGAAGGATCAGAGGGAGAGGGAGTGACAGACTCTGAAACAGGCTCCGGGCTCTGAGCTGGCAGTCAGCACAGAGCCCGACGCGGGGCTCGAACCCAGGAACTGCGAGATCATGACCTAAGCAAAAGTCGGATGCTTAACCGACTAAGCCACCCAGGCGCCCCTTCCATGTTTTGTTTCGTTCCTGATCTCAGAGGAGAAGCTTTCAGTTTTTGACTGTTGAATATGATGTTAGCTGTACCTGGACTTTATTATGTTGATGTATGTTCCTCCTATTCCCCACTTTGTTGAGAGTTTTTATGATAAATGGATGTTGTAGATTGTCATATGCTTTTTCTGTGTCTATTGGGATGATTGTGTGATTTTATCCTTTGTTTTGTTAACGTCTTAATGGTGTATCACGTTGATTGACTTGTGACTGTTACTTGCTATTCAATGGTTGCATGATCTCTACTGAGTGATTTCACTACAATTCACCTAATCATTCTTCTGCAGTGGGAGTTTAGTTGTTTATGAATTTTGGTGAAAGTTTCGCCCATATGTTAGCTCTCCAGAATTGTAAAAAGCGAGTTATGGGGTATACGTTGTTTCATGGCTATTGCTAAAGTGAGAGGCTTCTCTCCGGAAGTGCTTTTGCTGACGGTGAAGTGTGGGTGTTGAACATCAATAGCCTATAATCTGTCTTCCAGCCCTTCCAGCCCTTTTCCCATCTCTCACCCCTTCCCACCCCTTCCACCCTTGCTGTACTTCTGTAAATAAGCATGCCGGAGGTGTGTCCTCTCTTGGCTCTTGGCTTTGATGTCTTTTCTGCTCTACACAAGGCAGAAATTGGTTATCTCTTCTTTTAAACTTTCAACTTAGGCAAATAGTCGGTGAAACTTATCCCTTCTCTTTCTTTCTGAGCCAAGAGGATGACATTGCTCTTTGCTTTGTTTAGGACATTACCTCTGTTTGCCTAGAAAGCTTCAGAGCAACCGCTATCTCTTTGGCCTTCCCTCCTCTAAGCAATCTCTCTCTCCCTCTCAATCTCTCTCTAGTTGGGGCCCTCAAATTGGGCTACCTGGCCACCACTGCCAGGGATACATTCTCTGTAGCTGGTGCCCATAAACAATGACTCCATCATGTGCCTTTGGGGATTATAAGGAAAAAGTTCAGGAAGAGGACCCGTATGGGGTTACTTATTGTTGTGCTTACTGTTTCCAGAGGTTTTCATTTCTTGTGCTTGCCACACTAGTAGTAATAATGATAAAAGCTAGTGTTTGCAGGATCCTCACTGTATCTCTGGCAGGAAAGGCAGCGTAGTTAGAACACTATGACTCTGAGGTTGGAAAAACCTGGGCCTCTCGCTCCAACTGCTTTTGGCAAAGCACCATCTGATTTCATTTTTTACATCCCCCTTAACCTACTCAAAGGCTTGTTGGGAAGGTCATAGAACATAATTCTAAACTGTGAAGTGATATCCAAAATGAAAATATTACTGGGGCACCTGGGTGGTTCAGCCGGTTAAGCTTCTGACTTCGGCTCAGGTCATGATCTCGTGATTTGTGGGTTCAAGCCCTGTGTTGGGCTCTGCTGACACTCAGAGCCTGAAGCCTGCTTCAGATTCTGTGTCTCCTTCTCTTTCTGCCCTTTCCCTGCTCACTCTCTGTCTCTGTCTCTCTCTCAAAAAAAAAAACATTAAAAATTTTAAAAATTCAAAATGAAAAGTTATCATCATTGTAATTATCCATGTTTTCTCTTCAACCCTATGCTACTAACAATCAAGGAGAAAGATACTTCCCAAACTACAAGGGACTTAAACCCAATAAGTCTGACTCCCATAGACCCTATTTAAAACCAGGCAATGTTGCTTCTGTATTATTAACTTAATGAGATATTTTTATTGAAATTCTATGGGATTTCACATGGGAAAGGAGGTTTCTTTATGTAAACATTTTTGGCAACCGCTGCTCTAGTCCTTTGAACCAAACCAAAATCTTAGGTTTGCAACACTAGGCTTTTAGAAAATTTCCATGTGATTAAATTCTGTGACATTTGGACTGTTTCCCCTACCTTTTGGTACTTGGTTTTGCCAAAGAAAAGTAAAAAACTTTTGCTCCTTGAAGGACTTTCTTCTATTCTTACGTATAAAACAGAAGTCCTGTTTGTATCGTGTTGTGATTTTGCCTGTTTTGTCTGTGTTAATTCCACTGACAGGCCCCTTGCTCTGACTTCTCTCTTTTAGGAGAATGATATAAACCTAACTCACATTGAATCCAGACCTTCGCGCTTAAAGAAAGATGAGTATGAATTTTTCACCTATCTGGATAAACGTAGCATGCCTGTCCTGGCAAACATCATCAAGATTTTGAGGCACGACATCGGCGCCACTGTCCATGAGCTTTCCCGGGATAAGGAGAAAGACACAGGTAACAAACAGGGATTTTGCAACACAAGTACTTTGACATTCTCTTCAAGAAACAATGGCAAAAAATACTATCTACTCTGGCAGACTATTGTGGGGGATTAATCTGGAAGGTGTATGTTAGGGACACGGAGGAGTCTTTAGTTATTTTAGACATTTAGTAAATATTAGTTCTTTACTCACTTTCTCAAGATAGAGAGATTTCCTATATTAGTAATTTTCTTTCTCTTGCTGCAAGTTTTATATGTTCTAAATTTTGGCGATCAGGAGTAAAGCTATTATAAGCATTCATGTGCAGAGTTTTGTGTGGCCATGAATTTTTTAACTCATTTGAATAAATACTTAGGAGTGCGATTGCCGAGATGAACTAGTTTTTTTTTTTCCTAAATAATCAAAACACTTTTTTCTGCTGTAATATCAAAAGTTTTATTTTGGTTTTGGTTTTGGTTTGTTTTTTGTTTTTTGCCAAAGCTGAAGGATTTAGGTCAGGAGGATTTCAAATGTTATTTATTTTATTTATTTATTTTCAAAGGTTATTTTAAATAACAATTTGAATTGGCAATTCAAATGAGACAAGACCCACCTCTTTGCACAGGGCCTTTGAAACATTTTCTAAAAGATACCCTCAGGGCCTTCCTAAGAAACCTCTCTTCCTTTCCTACCCCCTCCTCCTGTGGCTATCACCAGGACAGGGAAGTTTATTCCCGGATTCTGTCCCTGCAGAGCCTGGACAGCCACGCACGTGGGCTCAGGTCACAGAGGGGCAGGCACTTGGAATTCCTCCTCTGATCAACCCTACTTGCCTTCCTTCCCTTCCACCTCCTGAGCCGCTGCGCTGATGACCGCCTTCTCTGGCCTTTCCGGCCACCTGCTCCTCACAGGAGCTGCAGGCCCTCAGGACAAAGGGCCTGCCGGATCCTGCGGCTAACTGCCTCTGCTTGGAGCAGGTGGAGGCTGGGCCGGCTGGGGCCCTGGGGTAAGAAATCAAAGCAATTGACAAGCAGGCGGGCAGCCCCTTGGGGAGCCAGGGAAGATGTATGTAGATCAGCTGAAGGGCTGGCAGCCTGAACTGGAGGCTCTGAAAGGTTCTTAATGGGGACTCGCGGACAATGGTTAGGAACCCAGACTCCCAAACCTGGGCGCAGGGAACTTGGCGTCACCACACTTGGTGTGGCTTTGGGCAAATGACTGACCTTCACAATCTCCCACTGCATCAAATGGGAGTAGCAAGAGTCTCTGCCTCATAGGATTAATGAAACAACATCGGTGGGGCTTTGGGAACGGTGCAGAGCTTGTTTAAGGGATTACTACATGTTCCCTATTCTTACTGTTATCATTGCTGTTATGATAAATAATGACCCAAGCACAGGAGCCACGAAAAGCCAGCCTGTACACAGCAACTTTTCCAGAGACTCTGAGAACTGGCACATGACCTCAAAGGTCGTGCAGCCAAACAGACTTCTTAATTTTTCATTGGAAAAAAAAAAACGAAGGCCATGACTTGCCTTAAGGCAGAGTGAATTCTGTGCCTCTGTGGGTAAGCAGGTGTTGAGCGAGCGCTCCTCTGCACCAAGCGTGGTGATGGGAGCTGGGGGTGTGGGGGCGGGGGAGAGGCTCAACACTACTCATTCTTAAGGTGCTCACAGGCTGACAAGGGCAACAAGACACCCAGGTGAATACGGTCCAGGGACAGGTTCTGTATGAGAACAAGGTGATGGAATCTAGCAGGGTGTTGACATTTGAAACTGGGTTGACATCCGACCTGCGAAGACAATTCTGGAAGGACTGACCCTTGACAACAACACGTGTTTCATTTTATTTATTCGTGTGGCCGGTCATCCCATCCCACACTGGCTGCCCCTACCTGACACAGTTTCCCGACCCCAGTGTCCACGTAATGGAAGGGCTGCTAAGGGAAATAGTGCTGCTCAAACAGCGCAGCCTCACCCCTGCAGAGAGGGGCGGCTCTTTGGGTTTCTTGGTTTTGTGAATTGTGCGGTCTGGGCCCAGAAAGAGATTTTTTTTAGGGAAAACAACCACCCCTTTTAGAAGCATTCTTGCCGTGGAACTCAGTGGGAGAATGATTAGAGGAAGAAAGGCATCGTGGTAGATCTGAACCTTTCATTCTGTCACTCGACAAAATGCCCTTTCATTTGAGGGGCTAAGATCTCAGGAGCGAGTCTGACAGCAGGTTGAAGTGGGAGATCTGAACCCCTCGAATCAATTAGGCTAAACCACTTTCCACTCTAGTTTTTAAACCATTCAAAAGGCCATGTGGATGATAGAAAATGAAAGTTTCCAGTTTCTTAATTGCCAAAGTTCCCCACCCAAAACAGCTTAAGGGAAGGTTAATTATGGTGACATGTTAAAGAAACCCCAACCTTCTAAAATACCTCCTGGAGGAGCTGATGTGACTTTAATAGGATTTTAATCCAAAGTCTTTTGAATACTTGCGATCTATTCTCTTGCTACCCTCTCTCCTGATGACCTCAAATCCTTCTTCAACCCAACATGAAAGAGCATTAATATCTTCCATCGATCAATCTACTAATCCTTTTACCTTTCCCTTTGACTCTTCTGCATGACATTGCACTTAGAAGGGGGATGGAAATTCCTACATGGAGGCAGATTGCAGCCAGGGGAAGCAGAGGGACAGAATGTCTTGGCTAGACGGAGATATAGGATTATCACCTTTCGAGAAATATATCCGTTTGCAGTTATTTTCCAAGAGCAAATGGCCATCTGGTGGCTTTTGTTCAAGTTGTGGTAGTTACGGGAATCCTGGTGTGGAGGCAGAGGGAGTCCAAACTTCCAGTACAACTGTATTTTCTGTGGGGAGCGGAAGGGCCATTTATATATTTATTCATCTGTCTATCTATCTGTCTGTTTACCTATGTTTCTGTCTGTCTGGCCTGGGGGCGGTTATGATTTTGTCTTTTTTATGTGGATCAATGCCTGAAGCAATGATTTAAGGGAAAAATATGTTGTGAGAAGACAAGAGCAGCATTATTACTCATTCCCGCCCGCTACATACTGCTCCCCACTCCCAGCCCAGTCTTCCGGTTCCCTTGCTCCTCCGCTAGTGCTTCCCCTATGCGAGGGGCCCTGATAAGCCTGAGGTTTCAGACTGGTTGTAGGTGGAGGATGGGATTCCTTGGAGGAGTCTGAAAAGCCCCTGGGACTGTGGGCAAGATGGTACACATACGTGTGCATGCATATTGTTCAAGAGTGATTTTCAAAGGGGTCATGGTTCCCAAGCTGTTGAGGACCCCTAAAGAGAAGAAGCCAGTTTAGGGCTGGCAGGGGGTTCAGAGGGCTGGAAGTTTCCCCCTTCCCACTGCCCGGTGGGGTGGCTGCCTTTCCCTTCTCCCTCCCTCTGCTCTTCCGTCTGTGCTTCCGTCTTCCCTGTGTCCCCTTCTCCCTTCCAAACCATCTCTGGAGCATTTCCCTTCACCCCCAAGGGTGTGTCTCAGGGCTGCAGGTGTTTGTGGCCCTGGGTCTGCAGGAGACCAAGGATCTGCATGTTTGTAGAAACACACAGGTTGTTGTGGTGATTCTGTCCTAAGTCATGGCAGCTGGGGATGAGACTTATTTCAGCAGTATGCCTCCTTGAGACAAACCAACTCACTCCTAGGAGAATAAGCAAAGCAGGGGGTATGTACCAAGTGCAATGCATTAGAGGCAGCTCCCTTCACTGGTGAGGGAAGGGCCAGGGCAGGTGCTCTTTCTACAGCCCAGTCCATCTGCCAGGTTGCAGGGCTTCAAGCTAACGAAGATCAGAGATGTATAAGCAGGCTCTCTTTCTAAGGAGGGTTTCCTCATGTGCACACTAAGTCCAGTGCTTTCAAAATTCTTTCCTATTAGGTTGTTTCAGTTAAGCTTTGCAACGGCCAACCCAGCTAGAACAAGCAGATGACATTATTGTCATTTCCATATGAGGAAATGAGACACAGTGCTCATTCAGCACAATGAAGGCTCCACAATCCATGCGGCCATTCAAGTTTACCCCATCAGATACCTTTTCTCTGTGTGACAGGTGTGTTCTCTCCATTGAAGGAGGTAATAAGAGAATATGAAATGCTTGTAACAGTGTTGATTTGCCATTCATGTTGGGTTGAGGGAGCATGATAGTGACTCAGTAAAAGCCATGAATTTAGAGTCAAGAATTAGGATTTAGACTCCTATTCTGTACACTGCCTGCTAGATTTGAATCCCATCTGACCCCCTGACAGCTGGGTGGCCTCATTTCCTCTTCTTTCTCACTTATGAAGTAGAGCTGAGTTTGACTTGGCCACTTTTTAGAACTTATGGGGAAGATCCTATCATGCAAGATATTCTGAAGGTTATGGTGCTCGGTGGATTGAACTTGCTTGAGTTGAATAGCCCTTGAACTTAGACATCCTTAAGCCTTGGTAGGGAAGGGCTCTATGATCTACAACACCAGCCTATTCTCAGGCTATTTGACATCACAAGCTCTGTGGGTATGGACACTGGCCAGGCTAATAATATACAGGGAGTTGGTAGCTGTCACCCCCTCCCTGGGTCCAGCCTCACCTGGTAGCCAGGGAGACAACTTCATGTGTGGGATGATATGAAGGGTGCTGGGAATGACCTCTCATTTCCAAATATCACTTCCTATGAACATGATTGTGATGCTTACTGTTATCCACCTGGCTGTGTGTTATACTGGAAATAGCACTGTTCTAAGAGACAGGAAGCCAACTTTCTTTTTTTTTTTTTAATGTTTTTTTAAAATTTATTTCTAGGAGAGAGAGAGACAGCATGAGCAGGGGAGGGTCAGAGAGAGAGGGAGTCACAGACTCTGAAACAGGCTCCAGGCTCTGAGCTGGCAGTCAGCACAGAGCCCGACGCGGGGCTCGAACCCACGGACTGCGAGATCGTGACCTAAGTGAAAGCCGGACGCTTAACCGACTAAGCCACCCAGGCGCCCCAGAAAGCCAACTTTCTATGCAGGTTCCCTCTTTCTTCCCTCCCTCTCTCTCT